AAAAAAAAAAAAAAAGGCAAAAACCAATGTTCAAGAAACTGCTTTAGAATGAACTGTAAGAAAAAGGAAGGACCATTTTATACAGTGAGGCTCTGGTGTGGATGTGAACCAAGTTTCAGCTTCATTGGGATATGAGATTACTGTGGCCTTGGTTGCATATGCCTGTTGTTTTTGTTGTTGGGTGCCAGCAAGTGTTTTTCAACTCATAGTGACCCCATATGGCAATAGAATTGCCTCATAGACTTTTCTAGACCTTGATCTTTAAGGGATCAGATTGCCAAGTCTTGGTAGTATTTGGTTAACTTATTTTTCACACATATTCCGCTTCCTGAAGTACTTGTCTTTCGGTCCACGGATCACAGCAGTGTCTAGGTACAGCCTGTGGTAAGTAGAAGATTCCATGCTTCCTTTTTACTTAGAAACCAGAGGAGAATGAGAAAGTTTCTATACTTAATAGAAACTTCCTCTGGGAACCGGTGTAAATAACAAGGAACAGAGATTTCAGCAGAAAGGAACCTTTTCGTCATTACAGTAAAAATGTGAACACACTTGGACCTTTCATTGCTGGTACTACTTTGACCTATCTTGAAGTTATTCCTATATAATTTAAAAAAAAAAATTGTACAATAAAGGACTTAAAAAGTTTTAGGATATTTGAAACTCGTATCTTGGATAGGAAAATCAAATAGCTTTGAAATATTTCTTAGTAATGACTATTAATTTCAGTTGAATTCAGTCAGATGTATGTGAAGTCTGTTGCCATCAAATCAATTCTGAGCCCTAGCATGGCTGTAGGAGAGAACTGTGCCAAAGGGTTTTTTAGGTGTGATCTTTAAAGGCAGATCCCCCATATCTTTTCTCCTGGGGAGTCAATGGTAGGTTAGAACTGCAGAACTTTCCGGCTGCAGCCCAGTGCTTAACCACAGTGCCACCAGTACTCCTTTGTCTGTTACGGAAACCTGTTGTTGTTGTTGTGTACTGTCAATTTGGTTTTGACTGATTCCGAAGGCTGCGAATCTATACAGGAGCAGAAAACCTCATCCTTTTCCTACAGAGTTGTTGGTTAATACGGTTTCCTTTTCTTTTTCTCCTTTCTCTGAAAAATGTAGGCATTTCAGTCGAACCATGGAGGAACTGGTTCATGATCTTGTCTCGGCATTGGAGGAGAGCTCAGAGCAAGCTCGGGGTGGGTTTGCTGACACTGGAGACCATTCCCGAAGTATATCATGCCCACTGAAACGACAAGCCAGGAAAAGGAGAGGGAGGAAACGGCGGTCCTATAATGTTCACCATCCTTGGGAGACTGGCCACTGCTTAAGTGAAGGTTCTGATTCTAGTTTAGAAGAGCCAAGCAAGGACTATAGAGAGAACCACTATAATAATAAAAAGGATCATAGTGACTCCGATGACCAAATGTTAGTAGCAAAGCGCAGGCCAGCAAACTTAAATAATAATGTTCGAGGGAAAAGACCCCTGTGGCATGAGTCTGACCTTGTTGTGGACAACCTGGGGAATAGAACTCTACGCAGGAGGAGGAAGGTCAAGCGCATGGCAGTGGATCTACCGCAGGACATCTCCAACAAACGGGCAATGACCCAGCCGCTCGAGGGCTCTAGAGACCAGGACATGGACTATGATAGAGCTTACCAATATCAAGAGTTTACCAAGAACAAAGTCAAAAAAAGAAGATTGAAAATCATTAGACAAGGACCCAAAATCCAAGATGAAGGAGTAGTTTTAGAAAGTGAGGAGATAAGCCAGACCAATAAGGACAAAATGGAATATGAAGAGCAAAAAGTCTCAGATGAACTCATGAGCGAAAGGTGATTTTTAAATCTTTTGATATAAAAATATTGTCATCAATGGTTGTGATTGAATGTGTTTCTGTATTTTAATTCTGTTTTAACATAATTATAATATAGAATAATGATAGTGATAGTACCATTTAACTGTGGTTATAGATCTTAATAATTTATACTGTTTAGCACACAACAAAATTGCTTTTGTGATTTATAGTCATTTGATTGTGTTACATTGACTTAATTTTCAGCTACAAAAGAGAAGAGAGAATGTCTTTTCTGTGGAAAAGAATGTGCTTTTGAATCAACATGTTTGTAGCCCCTAGAACTGGGTACATAGTTATTTATTTGCTTAAATATAGAGGTTTAGCTTTTAATCCTGTTTAGAGTGTTAAGATGGACAAGCCTGTTCTGATTCCTAAAAATCAAAAGTTGATGGCTGCCATTAATTGTGTGTGGCTTAGATATTTTTAAAAATAGCGCAGCATGCTATGAATTATGATGATCACTTAAAATTTGTGAAATCCAATTTACAGTCTGTTGTTATTGTGTAGTGCCATTGAGTCTGTACTGATCCATAGCGACCCTGTATAGGGTTTCCAAGGAGTAGCTGGTGAGCTTGAACCGCCGACCTTGCGGTTCAAAGCAACGTTTACTTGCAGTACATTTATAGTCTCGAAGCACCTAAGATTGTCATTTGAAAAATGGGAGAAATAAAGGTCCTTTGGCAATTAGTTTAATCTTACCCACTCTAGAAAACAGGAATACCATAATGATAATTGTTAAAGTACTATTTTTGCAGCATCAAAATTTGATTGTTTTTCTTTAACACAGAAGTGATGCTTGCTACCTGAAAGATTTGAGAACTTTCATCTTTTTTGTAGTATGTCCGTAAAACCAAATACAGAACTATGAGCCCAGGGGAAAACAACAACAAAAAAACAACTCAGAAATGGTCTGAAAAAGAGAATTTGATTTTTATTTTGTTGGTTTTGTATCACTTTAATCATATAAATACTGAACTATGGATCCAGTAATAATAAACAGGACTGCAAAGATGAATAGGACCTGAATCCAGTAATAATAAACAGGACTGCAAAAAAGAATAGAAAGGCCCTTTTCTTAGAGATGGTTTGCTATATATGTAGTTTTTCTTATAAAGAAAGAAGTAAAAAAAAATTCAGAAATCCTTTGAAAAATATATGGTATTTGCATTTCTTCATTGTAAGTTTCCATGTTTATACCAGAATGAGAAGTATGCTTATAATTATGTGTATTGGGCCATGTTGACTGAGGTCTACTCAGCCTAACTTGAAAGTAATTATCTTGCTCTTTTGCTGGGAGGCTGGATGGTATGCAGAAGTGGAAATAATTTACTCAATTCTGGATTCTTTGCAGTTAGATAACCTGCTTTCTGGATTGGTTATACAAACCCCTCCTTTTTTTAATGTCTGCTTCTGTTGATCTGCTTCTTAGGACATATCCCCTAGAGGGAATAAGAGGTGTAACTCCCATCATTCACTCCTGATCATTATAAAAAAGTATTTACATATATGTTAGGCTTATAGGTGTTCATATCTGTATTAGGTTATATGTTGTTGTTGTCAAAGTGCTGTCAGGTTGATTCCAATTTATAGCGGGCCCTGTTTAGGGCTTCTGAGGAGTGACTGGTGAGTTTGAAGTGCCGACTTTGTAGTCCAGTGTTTATTCTACAGTGCCAATTGGGACTCCATTAGTATATTAGAACCAAGGACAAAGAACAAATTATTAGGGTAAACTTAATTGTAAGTTAGAATTAGCAAAAGTGTTTGTAAAAATGTTCATGAGTGAAAACATCCTCTTCGGAAACTTTTGTTGTTGTTAAGTATAGTTGAGTTGGTTCCTACCATAGCAACCCTGTGTACTGTTTCCGAGGAGCAACTGATGGGTTTGAACTGCTGACCTTGTGGTTCGCAGTCCTGTGCTTATCCTACAGTGCCACACCATGATTGTATGGATGTTGTTGTTTAGTGCCTTCAAGTTGGTTCTGACCCATAGCAGCCCTGCATAATGCAAAGTAAAATACTACTTAAATTTAAAATACTGCTTATATAGCTCTAAAAAGAAATATAGGTTTTTACATTAGGAAAGCTTTAAAAGTAGTTTCAAAAGACATTTATACCTGTTAAGAAAGTACCTTCAATGTTTAGCATTCTTTCCGTAAAAGAAATATGCACCTGACTCTAAAGTGACAGAATAAAATCATTAAAGTGTGTCGGTAGTCAAATCCCTCCTCTCTGATACCAAATGTGAGAATCAACTACAGTTCAGCTGCACAGGTAAGTACTTCTTTCTCCAACACTAACCACCATGGAGGGAGCTCTGGTAGCGTAGTGGTTACGAATCGGGCTGCGAACCTTAAGGTCAGCGGTTCGAAACTACCAGCTGCTCCTCGGGAGAAAGATGAGACTTTCTACTCCGTAAAGATTTACACCCTCGGAAACCCTGTACAGGGTCGCTATGGGTCGGAACTGACTCGACGGCACTTAACAACAACCACCACCATGGATGGCTATGTCAGATCTCAAATTAATCAGGCACGGATCTTTAAGCAGTAAACTTTGCCTAAGAAGTCTGATGCCAGCTGCAAGTTTGGGGGACCCCATGATCTACTTCTGACTTGCTGGCTACGAATCTGGGGCTTTCCAACTACTTCCTCAGATGCCTTCACTTCTGACACACAGGCAGGCTCGCTCCCCACTGCTTCCTTGAATTCTGTACCTCACTCAGAAGACTCACTCACAAAGTGGCGCCTATAGGATAAGCACCGTACCGCAAGGTCAGTTTGAACTGCAAGCTTGGCACTCCCACCAGCCACTCCACAAGAAAAAGGCCAAGACTGCTCTTTTTTACAGACTCGAAATCCCTATCCAAGGCAGCTACGAATCAGAATCGACTTGATGACAGTGTTTAACTTTGGTCTTCAGTCCATTGTTGATTATGGTTATAATAATATGGAATAAATATTTAAGAGCAATTAAAACAGTTATAGTCGGCGATACAAGAGCAAAAAGGACAATATTTGCCCAAAGCAAAGAGAAGACAGGATGGGCTAGGAAATTAGCATGAAAGGAAATAGGGAGGCCAGGGTGGAGATGAGGAAAGCGGTGATGCAGGTAAGCAGTGTCACCAGTGTCATGGCACACTAGCTGCATAGGATAAGCACTGGACCTCAAAGTCGGTTTGAATCACAGGTTGGTGGTTCAAGCTCACCAGCTGCTCCTTGGAAACCCTATAAAGGATTGCTATGAGTTTGGAACTGAGTTGATGGCACTTAACAATAACAACAAACCACTTTAATAAAGCAAATATCACAACGAATCAAGTCATAGGAAATTTTTTGTTTTCCCAGTGCATATATATTTACACTGGAAAAGTTATATTTACACTGGAAAAGTACGCAGTGGCATTATAAGATGTTTGAAATACTGTGAGAATTACCAAATGGCACTTAGAGATATGAATTAAGCACATGTTGTTAGGAAAATAGACCTTCAGTTTGTAAGAAAAATGCAGTATCTGTGAAGCACAATAAAGTGAAACCCAATAAAAAGAAGTATGCCTTACATTTTAAGCTATCCATTGGGAAACTAAAGTTACAATCATTGGGATGGTGTCTATATTTTGGAGGATGAATGAGAAAGACTTTAAAACAATGCCCAGGTTTCAAATACAGAAAATACAGGAAAGAAAGAGATGGGAGCAGGGGATTGAGATTTGTGTACATCCATTTATTCAACAAACATAATATGGTGCCATTGAGTACTGTGCTCAAAAAGTCCTACCAAAAAAGCCAGCAGAAAACTTATCTTCAGCTGCAGGTAAGTCTTAATGACCACCATTTTCATGCTGAAAATGAAAAAGGCTTGCTTGTAGTTATGTTCTCCCTGTGGTTTATTGGTCGCAGTGACAGTTGTGTGATGCCATAGACCCACTAGTTAACTGTTAGTGAGATGAAATTTAAATAAAGGACCATGGATGCATGCATGTAAACATATCTCTATGATTTCCGTATATTTTTGAGAGTGCGGGAAGGAAAGAATTAGGTAGTCTTGGAGAAAAGAAAACATAAGCATAGAGGTCAGAGATGGGATAGAGAGGAATAATTTACGTGGGAGTTTACCCATAGATTGCCTTGAAATCCAAATTTAATCTAAGTAGGAGGAAGTAATTTAAAATTTTGTAACAGAAGACAGTCTACAAGGGATGTGTGTGCATGTGCGGGCAGGCATATGCATGTGAAAGATCTACATGTATTTATTTTTAATTTTTCTTTTGTAGTAGTACATTTGTCTCAACTAATGAGCCAATGTTGTTGTATGCTGTTGAGTCAGTTCCTACTCATGGCAACCCTGTATAGGGTTTCCGAGGAGCGCCTGGTGGGCTTACATCCTAAGTACCACACCAGGACTCTAAAGAGCCAGTACAGATCCATTATTAAGTAAGGAGCTCTGGTAGCGTAGTGGTTACAAATTGGGCTGTGAACCGCAAGGTCAGCAGTTCGAAACTACCAGCGGTTCCTCTGGAGAAAGATGAGGTGTTCTGCTCCCGTAAAGATTTACAGCCTTGGGAACCCTGTGCAGCGTCACAACTCCACGGCACTTAATAACAACAACAACATTATTAAGTAAAGTCCGTACTACAATATCCTTAATTGTTCTTTACTATTTGTTTGTTTTTTAAGTGAGTCAGTTTATAGCATTTTATATGCTTATTGAAAACTTATTTTAATTGAAAGTAATCACGTGGGGAGATTTACTGATTGGTTAAAATACAAAATTATAGAAAGAAGAAAGTACCTGAAAACTTTTGAAGAGTATCACTTAATTTATTTACAGGTCAAACTTCTTGCTATATTCTTTGTTGACATGGCAGTTTCTGCTAACTAGATTATCATGTAAGTAATGCTTCTATTTGAAGTCCTGGTGTGACGCTGTAGGACAAGCACTGGACCGCAAGGTCCATTTGAACTGCAAGTTGGTGGTTCAAATCTACCAGCCTCTCCTTAGAAAGCCTTTATAGAGTCTTTATATGAGTTTGAACCAACTCCATGGCACTTAACAACAGTGCTTCTGTTAACACTAATACTGATAGGTTGCTCATCTCAGTCACATAGTTCTCTTTGTTGTCATTATTATGTTAAATTTGACTGCCATTCCCTAGAACTTCTATGACAGTGTCCTTTTTGTGTAACCCCCTCTTAATATTGGCCAGAATCATTTTTACTCAGAGTGAGCATAAACTTGATTTAGTGAATTGTCATCATTGTAAACTTTTATTTTCTCCATTGCCGAGTAATACAGAAGTTGTGAATTTTTAAGCGAAGTCTTTTCTAGAATATTTGAAAATGTGGTTATGAAAAGTAACAGCATCCTAAGGCCTATGTATTTCATGTACTCAAGAAAGGCTTAGCCTGCTTTTGATGGAGACTTTCCCCATTTTATTGAGCAGTGGTACCCTGGCCTCAAGCTGAATTACATGGCATAAGAAAGGAGCAGTGAGCATTTGATGAAAGCAGATAATAAAATGCATCAATTGTGTCAGACCTCCTTGCAGTCACATCTGGTTTACTGTCAGGGTCCCATTAGATTCCTGTGGTTTTATGTGCCAAAAATAATATGCTCTGTAGTTAATGGAACCAGCATATTTGCAGTTTGATTTAAAAAAATCTTATTTTCTTTGAGATCTTTGTCAGGCTTAAGTTCCATTTCTGAGCTGCCATGTCTCTTTAAAATTTTACGACTGAGAGATCAATTGTTGTTTTGATCTGTTTCTTTCTGTTTCCTTATTACAGTGATTCCAGCAGTCTCAGCAGTACTGATGCTGGTTTGTTTACCAACGATGAGGGAAGACAAGGTACTGACGGGCTCTGTGTTCTCTCTTTGGAAAAACGTCTTCATTTTAAGCTGTGTTTATTACGAGTGATTTCTAAGTTGATGACTGCACACACTATTAAACGGACTGGAGTTTGGTATATTGTATGGTCTTTCACAGGCTGTGACCTAAAGTTATAAATAAACCCCTTGATTGTCTCCAGGAATCAGCATGTGGAGCTAATCACATTAAGGAAGGATTAGCAATTTCCTTGAGAAAGCTTTGCATAACTTCAATCTTTTTCAATGTAGTCCCTTTTAGCAAGTTGGGAAGGCAACTGATTCCAAATATATTGAAAACTGTGTAAGCATTAATAAAGGTGGATTTACAAGCCATTTGTCATTTTTATTCAGCGTTGACATTTATTCATTCCATCGAGTTTTCAAGTAATTAGGTGATTTTCATGAATTCAGGATTATATTGAATTCATGAATTCAGAATTGTCTTATAATTTAGATCTTTTCAATCTTTGAAATTTCCTGAAGCTTTTTACACTTAACATGGCAGTGTTTTGAAGCTACCTGTTCTGGAAGAAAACATGAAAACCTTAGGAGACATACCCAAAAATACCCCAAATGTTGTCCATTTCTCTTGAGCATACTGAAGAGGTATTAAGTTTTAAGGAGAAAAAAAAAGTTAAGGCTTATTGTTTTAAATTATAAAGAAACAGTTTAATGGTATATAAAAAAAGTATAGCTGGCTCACTCTTTTTTCTTTCACTTTCCCTTTGGCAGTATCAGTAAAATAAATTAGATGACATTATTTTTTGTTTAATTTAAAAGCTGTTTGCCCCACACAAATAGAGACTGTTTTAAAAGTATAGGCATCTTGCAGTTCAGTGAACTTTACCAAAATATGTTAGAATCTCAGTGTTATGAGTGAGTCTGATTACCTTTATAATATATCTAAGTAGTTATTTAAATATAAATGTTTACCTAAGGTTGTTGTGGGTTAATGCACCAGACTGCAAAGTTATTTGAACTGCAAGATCGGTGGTTCAAGCTCACCAGCTGCTCCTTGTACACCCTATACAAGGGTCATATGGGTCAGAATTGACTCAGTCACACTTAACAACAATAGGAAGCACCGAAGGTTGTATTTAGGACTGTCGAATTATGAGCCATGAAATTAAATGAAAGCATTTTGGAAAAAAAAGAACTTTTGGCAAGGCTTTGAAAAGCAGTTTAATATGTTAGGTTTCATTGTGAGTTTACAGTATTTCACGTGCTGCATGCTTTTCTTGCATTTCATTTACTTTAATTTCTTACTTTGAGACAACCCTTTAAGATTCCTAAAAATTTTTTTTTTAATGAGGAAACCTTGGATAATAAAGTTGAAGTGACTTCTACTTTACAAAACACTAGAATTCTAATTGTGCTGTCTGACTTCAGAGCCAAAGTTGTTAATCATTAGCTATTTGATCTTCCAATTAAAAGTAAAATACAAGAAACTTTTTATATTATAATGTTGTTAATTGCTGTTGGGTTGGTTTCAACTCATAGCAACCTTGTACAGGGTTTCCAAGGAGTGGCTGGTGAGTTTGAACTACCGACCTTGAGGATAGTAGTCCAGGATCATAACCCATATCCTATACCATCACACGAGGACTACTGTAGTATATAATCATCATCGTGATATGATGTGCCGTGGAGTCGCTTCTGACTCATTGTGAACTTGTACAGGGTTTCTGAGGCTGTTAATCTTTATGGGAGCAGAAAGCCTCATCTTTCTCCTGTGAAACAGCTGGTAGTTTCGAACTGGTGACCTTAAAGTTTGAAGCCCAGTTCGTAACCACTACACTACCAATGCTTCTGGTAGTATATAGTTTCTGTTGTTAAGTGCCGTCAAGTCGGTTCCGACTCATAGCTACCCTGTAAAGGGTTTCCCAGGAGTGGCCGGGGAGTTTGAACCACCGACCTTGCACTTCAAACTGATTTTGTGGACAGGTAGCATTATCTTACTGGGAATTATGATCTAGGGAAGTCAGTTTCAAGTGACACTTCTTTTTTGTGTGCTTAAATTTGATTTTTAAAATTTTAATATGACTCACAGTTAAAGTATTGGTTGATATTTGAGTCTTGGGAGATTGTTCTCATTTTTGTTGTTTCTATTTAACTTATTTGTATTAGCCTTCAGTTGAAACAAGCTACTGATTTTGGTTTTCCAGATCCTTTTAAAATGCTCACTCATTGTACTTTGAAATACTGCTGTTTCCCATAAAGCCATTTTTCATCAAAGTCGAAGGGTGGGTTTTTTTGTTTTTTGTATGTTTTAAATTTTCTTTTAAATTGATTGCAAGTAAGATTTTGGAAATAAATAGTTGTTTTATTGAAATGGAAAAAGCTTATGACAGTTGTGATGGCTCTTTGTTGTTCGGTGCCTTAGAATTGGTTCTGACTCATACAGCCCTGTGCACAACAGAGCAGAATACTGCCCGGTTCTGTGCCATCTTCACAGTTGTTATATTTGAGCACATTGCTGCTACCATGGTGTCAATCCATCTTGTACAGGGTCTTTCTCATTTTTGCTGCCACTTTACCAAACATGATGGTACTTGTTACCACAATTCAAATGCGTGCTTCTCTGGTCTTCCTTATTCATTGACCAACTTTCGCATGCAAATGAGGCAATTGAAAATACCAGTCCTCTTCCTTGTGGTTGTTAAGTGCGATCCAGCGGATTCAGACTGGATAGGATTTCTAAAGAGCAGCTGGTAGAGTTGAACTGCCAATCTTACGGTTCAAACTAACCTTGTGGTCAAGTGCTTATCTTAAGGCGCCAGCCACATCAGGACTCCTAGTCTTTTAGGAACCAGAATTAATAGTGGAATTTGAGACTCATGAGAAGGCTTAATGTGTCTCCGATCTATTTCAGAATGCTATTTGCCTCTTATTCTTAAAGAATTTTTATCTGTGATTGGTATGGCACTGTAAGATCAGCAGTTCAAACCCACCGGATGGTTCTCAGAAACCCAATACAGCGTTGCTATGGGTTGAAACCCACTCAGTTACACTTAACAGCAACAATAATACATGTCTTTAATAAAACAAAAAGAAAACATTGCTAATTCCCTCCACTGACACATTTCAGACTGAGTTTTAAATTGATCACTATTCAGTCACACTCAGGGATGTTCTTCAGAGTGTAACTTACTGGATGTGTGACTTTTTCAAAATAACTGGCCTGCTGTAGTCAAACCCAGTTTGTTCCTAAAGCCTGTTGTACTGTCACTTTTCATTTGAAATCAACTTTTTCAAAAGTATTTCTTAATGAACTTAATCAGATTAATTTCAGTTAGTCACATCTGTTCATGATTGTTTCCCCTTTTACATTACATACAAATTATGAAATTAAGCTAATTATATACCATTATCAGCTGCAAAGAACGGGTTCCACAGTTTTTATACCATTTAATTCCCAGCAAGGAGATTAACACTTGCTTTTGCTTAATGTAGAAAGAGTAGTCAAATAATTGTACCTACAGTTGTTACTGTTTTTCACATTTCAGAATTAGTTCTTAAACTTTCCATTTTGCCTGTTGATGGCAGTACCTGTCTTATTGTTTGAATGCATTTCTGAAGTGAAGCTGTGATGTATAATAAAGAGATTTCCTTCATTGGTAATTTATGGGGTTCCAGATAGAATGCAATTAAATTAGAATTTTATATAAATAGCAAGTAATTTTTGGTGGAAGTATGTCACACATACTATTTGGAAATACATGTCCTAAAAATTAAATACAAATATTTGGGACATAGTTGTAGTAAATATACTTGTTGTTTTTCTGTATTCAAGTTTAACTAATGTCCTGTGTTACTACTTGATGAACCTGACAACCATAATTGTGTGGTTTGGGATGATAAAACTGAATCTTTGGGGGTTTGTGGTATTTTTACAGGTGATGATGAGCAGAGTGACTGGTTCTATGAAAAAGAATCAGGTGGAGCCTGCGGTATCACTGGAGTCGTGCCCTGGTGGGAGAAGGAAGATCCTACTGAGCTAGACAAAAATGTACCAGATCCTGTCTTTGAAAGTATCTTAACTGGTTCTTTCCCCCTTATGTCACATCCGGGCAGAAGAGGTCAGTAGCTGTGTGACTGGTGGATACGATGATAAATCCTGGAGTCTCCCTTGAAAGTGGATAGGCTAACATGAAAAGGAAGGGATCTAATACAAGATACTAAATGTCAACATGGTGGCACTAATTCAGCCACTACATTTACCACGCTTTCAAATGACCAGCAAAATTGACTTGCTTTTTCGCTGGAGCCATTGGAAAAAATGTTGGAATAGATGGAAGGTGAATTAGGAGAAAGGACAGCCTTAGATAATATCCTAGTGCTTGAATAATGGATAGTTAGGAGCTGAATGCTTTAGAACCCAACTAGGCATTGCTTCAGATCTTTTAAATGTGGGTTTTGCATTTTCCCTACTAGTATTCACGGTGTGTTCCCACCCCCCATACTTAATTTTAATTCTACATTAATAGGGTCTTCTTATATGCTTCAGCGATTATAGACTTTCCTAAATTGAGTGCTTTGATTTTTCAGGTTTCCAAGCTAGACTCAGTCGTCTTCATGGAATGCCTTCAAAGAGTATTAAAAAATCTGGAGGGACCCCAACTTCAATGGTAGGCATGCTTTTTTATTTAATGGCCTTGTTTGGAAATGTTTCCATTTCTATGGAATAAAAAGTCACATCCTCATCCTTTTTTTCATATTCTAATGTTATACCTAAAAATAATCCATTTTTTTGTAGGCTACAAACTGGACCAGTGAGATTCCCCTATAAACCAAATCTTCTAATGCTAATAAATTAGTTACGTTTTGAACATCTGGGGAATGACATTCGAGGGAACCTGGCTCCTGTCCTCTTCCCTGGAGGAATATCACTGAAGTGAGAGCCTCTTTGATGAAAAGATGGGGCTGTTTTTGCTGGAGGACGGTATTCTTCCTTTTAGCCAGAAGTGAATCTGATTGGGGAGGCTCTCTAGGCACCTAGGTTGGCCCAGGGTGGGTAGAGACTACTGTAAATTATATATATTTTTCTCTTTTATAGTTTTTTTTTTTTTGAACCCTTGATTCCTTTTTTTTTTGTTTGTTTTGCCAAATTGTTGCCAAAATTGGGAAATTTAAAAACTTTCAGATTTAACGTAAGCATTCCTTCATGTTTCTGTTGTGACTGGTTAAGAATTAATTTTTACATGTCCTGTTGTAACTGAAGAATGGGATACCCTGATATGGATGGTTCATTTTTAGAGGAGTGTTATTATAATCAGCATTATAAAAAAAATGTTTGCATTTTACTCAGGGTGTTTTATGAAGGGCTAAGATTGATAATTTTTTATCAAGGGTTAAGTAAGGTTGATAATTTTTGGTAGAGTTTGTATTTTATTCAGTTGGCTTCCTACTTGGATTATCTGCTCTATACTGCAAACCCATTGTACATTATGGCAGAGTTTTCATTGTATTAATGAAAATTGCCTTAATTATAAACTACACATAACGATAACTCGTTTGCACTAACAGATTCAGTTACTGTCACTATTAAATTATCTGCTTTTCTGATACCTGAAGCCAATCAAAATGATGATTTTTGACTTTGAACTTAATGAAATCATGTAAAAGCTGGGATTTCAACAAATACTGTATGACTTTGAATCATGTTTTGGATCTAAATCAAGAGATGCTTGCATATCCTTAGAATGGCAAATCATATGTATCACTGTGAGTATCTGAAATTGGTATGAGCTTATTTTTAGCAAACAGGAAGAAACCAGCATTTTTATTGATGCTATACTTGATACTACCTTCAGGCCATTTGAGTTCCTCAAGACGGTTATGTTAGGATAATTAACATTTTTATTAAGTTCTAATGATTGATTAAAATGTGATTTAGTACATGTATTTTTATATTATATATAGATTGTTAATTCAGCATTTAATGGCCAACTTAAATATGATCTTTGGAAAAGAAGCGTAAAGTTGACTCTTTTACGTAAAGATTTTACAGTCTCAAATCAGTAAATGTTTTACGTTGCAGTGTCTTACAGATCACCTTTTAGATTGCCTTTTTAGACTGGAGAGATTAAAAATGATAAAGTACAAGTTGTGTCTTGTTACCATTGCATATTTATCTAATTCATATTTCAAAGATATTTGGTAACTGTAAGTTAGCTTTTGTGTGCTTTGTTCTTTGGAATGGAAAAATCATGATTTTTTTTTGTTGTTGTTCCTTTTCTGAATTGCATAAATGCTTTTATTTTATTTTGAATAATGTCTGTCTTTTAGATATGAATAAGTCACTTTAAAACCTTGGCCTATGAACTTTGCCTTACCAATCATGAATCTAGATGAATGCTATCTAGTTCTTGGTTCAGTTTTACCTATTTTTATTTTTGGTTCACTGCTTGCTTGAGCATAGCTGGGATTTGTAGCCCATTTTCTAGGCTTATTGCAATCTCACTGTGGTATTTTATAGAAGCTATTACAACTGATAGATTTGCTTCATGGTATTGATGATACATGGCTTAACCATACTACAAGCTGCCTTCCCTCTCTAAATTGTAAAAAGGTGATTAAGTTTCACTTGATGGAGATATGCTATATATATGTGTTTGTCATGGAACTCTAGTGTATCAGACCATAAACTGTTTTCCTGGTCTCTGTTTTTTTGTATGCAAAATTTTACTGAAAATAATGGGTTCCTTAATTTCTTTTTTTCCAATTCTGAATTGTCCTTTGGCTTTTTAAGCACTGTAACATGCTTTTCAATAAAATATCTGACTTGGGCAAGAAAGGTAAGAGTTTAAATTTGTGCTGGTATTTTTCTAATTTTCTGTGCAATGTTATTTGTTACTGTTCATAGTCTCCATATATAAAATTAAAAAATGGATGCTTTCACAAGACAAATATCTTTGAACAGTGCCTGTAATATCTGGTAATAAGAAATGAAATTTTGAATACCTTAGGCTTTCACACTGGAAAGTTCGAGTCCTTCTAAGGAAGATTAATTTTCTCAGCAAAGTTAAACACATGTAGCTACAACTCTGCTTAAACAAACAAATGATGACTGAACAAATATCATGTAGTATCTTAGAAGGGAATAACATAGAATCCTTTACTGAAACATTCATATAAAAAATGGTGGGGAGAATTTTTCAATTCAATTGCTTCACTTTATAGAGAGGCAGTAATGATTGTAGAAAAACATTCAAATTTTGAAGTTAGACCTTCGTGGTTCTACCATGCTGGTTCTTCTTTTTGCTTCTAATTAACATTTCTGAGCCTCGTTTTTCTCTCTGTTAAATAGAAACAGTATATACTTTGCAGAAGTGTTCTTGGGATATAGTGAGATTATGTGTGTGCATAGTGAGCCCAGCACCATCTTTGTCACACAGTATATTTTAAATAAATGATAGTTACTGTTATCATTGGAGTCCTGGTATGGTGCTGTAGGATAAACACTGGACTACTAACTACTAGGTTGGCAGCTCAGACCCACCAGCTGCTCCTCAGAAGCCCTATATAGGACGCTATGAGTTTGAACTTACTCAACAACACGCTATCATTAGCTGTATTGAGCATAGAACCTATGATTTAAAGAACACTTATTCGTATTGTGAGTCAAAATACAGATTTTTTTAGATTTTAAGACTTTATATTCATGTTTTATGTATAATATGCCTTTATATGTGATAATTAAAATGCCTTTGCATTGTAACTTTATATTTTTTATACTTCATTCATATTTGAGTTGGCTTCTGTTTTTAATACGGTATTCGAAGAACAGTTTTGGATGAATTTTACATCTCAAAATTTTAATTACAAACTGGAAACATGTACATCCACCTATTCCCTGCATCCTTCCTCCAATCTTTGTTGGTTTCGTTTGTTGAAGAACCCGTACTGTTAAGGAGGTTTTGGTGCAGACAGATCTAATTTTTAAAATTAATATTGTATGTATGTTTGAGCTGTGCATGTTAAGAGTCTTGAGAATTAAGTGTTGAGAGGAATTTCTATTACTGTCCTTCAGATAAACACAAGTTTATCAGTGGCCAACAAGCCATCCTCTCATATTCTTCTCTTTTAGGGAATTAAGTAAATGATAAATTAATGAAATGTAGCATAATGTTGCTGTTAACCTCCAAAGGATTCCTGGGATTAGTATACATTCAAGGTAAATCCCTACATTAGCAGAATCCATGTGTAAATATAGTTCAGAAACATGGTTTCAGAATTAGTGTTTGGGGATACAGTATTTACTCAGTAACCCTGTGACATTCCAGTTAGCCAGAATACTGTAATCCTACTACCAAAGGTTAGTGTTTTAGCATTTTAGTGTTTTTTGTAGGTGAGATGAAAGATTTTTATTCTTTTCTTTTTAGATTATTTTTTTTTAAAAACTAGGTTTTAGTTACGTTGTACTGAAAGTTAGCAATTAAATTGTGTAGTGTTTTGAAAGGTCAGCATAAAATACTGCACCTCAAGTTAAATGTAAGTATTTACACACAAATTGTACTTAAGTATTATATAGGGTTTTCTTTAAACGTTTGAATTGTGAAGTTGGGAGTAAAGGGCCTTCGTTTGTTTGCATGGTTGTATTGAGTACAGGTGTGGAATAGTGGTGGTGTTGGCAGTGGCAGTGATGGTGGCCGGTGCTTTTCCAAAGAAAATGAATCTGCCTCCATCGGCTTTTATTTTATACCTTGTTATCAAGTTTAAATAGCTGAAAAAAATGTGAACATTGAAGCTTAATCTAAATTGCATTACATATAAATAACTATACCATTGTATTCATCAGTAGCCATGCTGTCATAATTGATTATTACATAGCTTAGGCCGTTTCTAAACATGAAAAGGAATAATGTAGATAGATACTTCCTTCTCCTATGAAGTCACAGAAAACCAGGATTTCATGAATAACATTTTAACAATGATAATCATACTGTAACGATTCACTATTTTGCTTACCTTTTCTTTGTTGAAAAAGGTAGAAAGTAAGAATGTTTAGTCTGATTTAAAGTTCTTTACGAGTCTGGTGTGGCGCCGTAGGATAAGCACTGGACCACAAGATTGGCAGTTCAAACTAACCAGCTGCTGCTCCTCAGAAACCCTATGCAGGGTTGCTATGAGTCTGACCCGACTTTGATGGCACTTAACAACAGCAATAGTTCTTAACAGTGCAATAATCATTTAAAATCAAGCTTGCCTTAAATAAGGGAACGAAATAAAATTTTCTCTTAGAATAGTCTAAGATAAAGGAGAAATTTTATGATAGATTAAAACTGTGAAATGAATGGAAAAACAAAACAAAAAAGCACAGCCTATCTCCTCAACTGTAGTTTCACCTTATGCTAACTAATGATCAATGAAATTAATTGATTAAAAGTTTTCTTATAATCCCTGTGAATTGATTTTTCTCTGTATTCTTACAGCATTTTCAGACATTTTGCAAAGCACAAAAGAATTTTTTAAGTTTTTATTGTTAATTGAGCGATAGTTTATATGGGAGAACATCGGTTTTACACTCATTGTTTCATTGTGGTGATTACAATCGCCTCTGTGCATCATCATTCAACAGTATTTGCTTCTATTCCCTCTGGGGATTTTTTGTGGGTGGGTGGGAGAG